GTATGAGTGTAGCTGTATATGTCTTGTTTATATCTGTACTAGTGTATCTGTGTTAGTGTGTCTGTATAAGTATCTTGGACTATCTGTTTTCTCTCTTATCTGTATCCGTTGTTCCTGCCTGTGTATCTAGGTCTCTATCTATATATCTAAATATCTATAACTGCATCTGCATTCGTATTTCTGTACTTGTACCTGCTATATATCTATCTCTTTGTATTTGTGTTTCTTTAACAGTGTATCTAATTTCTATCTTTGTATCTGAATCTCTATATCTATATATATTATCTGTATTCGTGCATGTGTATCTGAGTATTTATATCTATGTATCTATTATATCTATCTATCTTTGTCTGTGCATCTAAATCTCTATCTCCGTATCTTGTGGCTGTTTGTACCTGTATCTGAGTATCTATATCTATATCAATGTATCTGTTTGCCTGTATTTGTCTTTCTTTATTTGCGCATCTAAATCTCTATATTTTTAGCTATGTATCTGTATTCGTGGATCTCTATATGTATCTAAGTATCTATTCGCTAGTATATTTATCTGTGTTTCTAACGTCAATCCCTCTTTCTATGTCCCTACTTCTGTGTATTTGAAGTCTACATTAGCTTTTGCATCAGATGTTTTAAGCGATCGACTTAATTAGAGCCACACTTGAGTAATGCGTGGAATACCTCTATTTCGCATTCCTAACCGAATTGATGGAATGACTCAGCACACACACGCATACACAGCTTTGCACAGAGAGAGTAGAGTGGGAAATACACACTCACTGAGTGAAAAACCTGTTTGCGCACAACTCGCTTCAACTGTCAATCTGCATATAAACATTAACAGCAAGTGAGACTCGTGTAAGAATCATAATCATATGCAGTTGATTTAAGCCGAACAAGCAATCAATAAAACTTTAACATCAGAGCCCGACACACTCATTAAATGATTAAGTATTCATAGCTCATATGCAAAGAGGCATTCCAGGTCGTTTGGAGGTTCAGCCCTCTGCACAGCAATCTCCCAGGCTTGGGGGAAATTCAATTGAATCATGAATAAACGTATGCAAAAGAATTTTACATCAGAACATTGTGAATCAATCATAATAATAATAAAATATTTAAATATTTAAAAAACTTTCTAAAGTAAGAAATAAGATGTAATCGATTTTTGAGGAAGTTCGAATTTCTATTCATGATTCGTATTGCCGAAGGTGGATAGGCTTACAATGCATTGGTTATCTAAGGTTGATCATTTTACTTTGATTTATTGAAATTTTATTCACTCTTAAGAACTCAAGAATTTATGTAATATGAATTATGTGAACAGTGTCTAACAAATATCCACGTACTACTTGAATAGGGATTTCGTCTGACATTGGCAAACAGCCAGAGAGAGAGGAGCAGAGCTGCCTTATCTGGCACATCAAACAGAACTTTGTAGGTTTAAATGTTGTCTCGCGTTGTTTAGATAAGGTGGAGCTGTTTTTGACAGTGAGCCAAATAAATAAATTCTGTTTTATAATCCACGTGTTTTATAATCAACTGCGATTAGCGTTAAATACGAACAGTATGTGCTTTTGGCAAATTATCTAACAGACTTTTGGCTAACGGATTCATGGGCAACGGAGCATGACAGCTTCTGTCAGGTGCATTTTCTGCTCGCTCTGATTGTTGTTAGCAGACTAAAAAAAGTTGGCGCTTTTCAGAACGAAATCAATTTAATTGTGCGCGAGAGTGTGACAAAAGTTTTGTCGCACTTGCAGCTAACGATTTGTTTATTAGGCGTAAACGAGTTACAGGCTAGAGCACCTAAGTAGCGAGTTTGAAAGAACGATAACTTAGGCACCTGCCGCCAAGCAGGTGAGGGCGGGCGCGCCAGTAATCGATAAAGCGGCGCGACGTGTAAACAAAACAAAAACTATTTACGGAAAGCAAAGAAACCCCTCATGTGTTTCCCCAGTTAACAGGAAAAGAAAGGTAATAGACAGCTCAGACAATCGAACCGAAAAAAGGTATCTTTGATTAATTCCCATTCCACTCACGATACTTGCCGCATAACAGCTATAACCGTTATTCAGTTAATCCCATCAATCACTGGAATTTAATTGGTTCAATGAAATTAAATTTGATACACCAATTCTTTGATTTGCATAACGAGTTCGAACCAGAACTGCAAATGAATCCAGCCAAGAGCACAGCGAATACTGGAAAAATGTACTCGAGTCGAACAAAAGTTTGTTTCAACTCGAATATTCTGACTCAGGGCAGCGACTAGTCTCAATTTAGAATGCCACAGGAATGTTTAATATAAGTTTTATACATGCTATCAAAATATAGTTAAGCTCAAGTAAATATGTTCAGCTGACTATTATCATAAACTCTAATGATAAAATTCATCTTTTCTAAATATTATTGACCATCTATGATAATATCCTTACATAAAACACGCTGCTGCCATGACAGCGACAGGAAAACTTAAGGTTAAGAAACTTGAAATGCATTTGTAATGCAGGCACTATAAGCCTTCATTAAGCTGTGCTTACTAATCACAGCGACATTAAAGAATCAACTTAATGACAAAACGTTTACGTTCGCAATTAGCCAAGTTTAATTTCCTGCCATAACAACTTGAAGCTGCAGGAGGCAAACTCTAACCGGCTATAAAGAAAGACGCATTCCTGGGGGAGGCATCCAGCCAGCCAGCCAACCAACCAACCAGCCAGCCAGCCTGATGGTTTAAGTGCAGTCTCAGTCCACGAGACATCAGCATACCAGCCAAGTTAATGAGTTGACCAAGCACAATTGCCCATGTCAAGAATTTGCCATAGACAGAGTAAAAAAAATGAACGGCTAGTAGATGCTCTGTACAAGTTGAAATGAATCTTAAGCTCAAGTAGAAACATAGGAGTGAGGACGACTGATCTATTCTGATTAGCTTCAACTAGGCTTCATTTAGTATGATCAGTATGATCAGCTAATACACTATCATCACTATCATTGTTTAATCTAAAATAGAGATTTAAAGAGAAGGATCTTTCAAGCGACTTGGGCAAGGCTTTACCTTTGACTGTCCCCCTTACAAGCCTCATCATCTACTTAATGATTGCCGTTGTCTGAGACTCATCAGAAATATAGCCTTGAAGAGGACAATAAGAGAGGTATAGACACATATGTTGCATGCTCTGTCAAGCGACTTGGACTTGCTTCTTCATCATCTTTCCTCAGAAAACTTCACTGACTAGAGTCAAGCTCAGGTGTAAGCCTAAAAACAGCAAAGCCCTAAACCAGTACAAGTTTATGGATAAGATGTGATCTACGAGCAATACGAAGTTGGATTCGTGGCTCCCTCGTGTTGGCTTCGTGTTGCTTTTGGCGTTTGTTGAACTTGCGGAGCACGTTCCAAACCACAGATGGAGATGCCAGCGATCTCCAAGAATGCAGTTTGGCATAATCGAAAGGCAAGCGAGAAAACCAACTGGAAACTGGTTTCCGTCAAGCGATTGCACCGGGCCTAACAGTTGTTGTTTTTCATTTTTCTGCTTCTTTTTCTCTTTGTTATTGTTGCTGGTATTTTCTTGTTCTTACTTTTTGCTGTGGCCTGTTACCGGTTTTTGGTGGGACTTTAACCTGCGGCTGATGCTTGCCTCTTGGCTGTAAGTTTTTGTAGCCCCAACATTTGTTGCTTAAGCTCGTTAAGTTGGCTTTAAGTACACCACCTTGACAGTTCTACGAGTGATTCATTTAAAAGATTTATCTTTGCAAGAGAATTACCCATTCGGTTTTCTTTATATTACAAAAGCCAGTTCACAGCTTTGAAATACTCTCTAAAAGCGGTGAAAATAATAAATATGCAAATAGGGAAATGTAGAAATTATGTTGAGTGGGTGAGAACTAAGTAGACCCGGCAGGCATTACCTTGGGCTCTTATAAAGGAAAGTATCTATTGTTATAAGCACTCTCTCCTCTCTCTCATATTTGCTTTCTGCTGGCAACCAATTTCATTAGTTCATAATTAACATATTTCAAACACACTAATTTGAGCTTATGTATATATTTTGGAATGTCCATTTACAAACAAACAAATTAAAATTAAATGTATAATAGTTTACAAAAATACATATATATTTGTTGTGGCTGCAAGGTAAGGGTATTAGCCAACTGGCATTGCCTAATCAAATGTTTATTTTGACAAAATCAGCTTTTAGTCACATTATTCAATGAATCATCCATACATGCACAGGCATTTTGGTATATATATATTTATATACATATATATAAATATATATGTGATTGCTGATTGCAATGCTGGTTAATAACGCTAATTTCAAATGTTACTAATGCTCGATAATTGCAATTTGCGAGTTGCCTGTAGAAAATCTTAAAATATTGTCGAAAAACAGTCATAAACAGCGAATACTCCATATGTCTATGAAAAAGGAAATAAACCCGGTTTGCCTTATACTTTTGTCAGTTTGGACAGCTGTCAGCTGTGTGTCAATAGGGAAAGAAGCCATACCTACCTACCTACATATGCGCATACTTAGGTATGTTCCGTAAAGGTAATTATCGACCGATTTTTGTATTTACTTTGTTTGTACAAATATCTCAAATATATCTGGCATACTCCATATACTCTTGCTGATTGTTCAGTTATTTCAGTGCATTTCAGAGACGTCAAAGGTAAATATTTTTATAAAAAGTTCAGGAATTATTTTTTATATTGTGTACGAAAGCTTTCCACATTCAATGCGATCCGAAAACCTGTACACAACAACAGCTACAGCTACAACAACAAAAACCGACTGTGACTTAAGAATCCAAGAATTGTATGCAAATGATTACATTTCATGCAAAAACTCGTTTTCGGATTGAGAGTCCATTGGAGTCGTACCATCCACAATATATACTATAAATATATAAATATATATGTATGTATATATCAGGTATTGTAGATGTAGCTGCTGTTGTTTTGCTTTTGGTTGACATTTGTACCAGAGACATACCATTAAAGTATTGTATTTGTATTTGTATTTGGAGAACTGTTCAATTTCTATCCAAGCGCAATTAAATCCAGTAATGCAATAACTTTTTGATTATCATTTGGCACGTTCAACTAATTTTTGTTTAGGTCACCAAACCGGTTTCGAGCATTATATAATCTATACCGATTTATATACTGATTTATATATATATATACATAGTTATTATCTTAAGCACTTAACAAACTTCACGGCACCACAAATGATAGAGAAACAGCACGATTTCGTAACACTAGAACACCATTTGATCAAGCAGTACCTTAAAACTTAACCCCCCGACTTGGTATGAAATATTACGCGGACATGGGCTTTACGGAGCACCACCAAGTGTGGACTATGCAGACTGACGAACTGGCGAACTGTCGGTCAGCGGGTGACGCGCTTTCCAGAGAGGTTTGTTCGATTCGACGGCTCAAATTTGTCTACTGTACTGCCTCAGTGTCGGACTGGCTCGAAACTCATTTGCCAACCGCACTCGAGCGCTGAGCAAGCGAGCGAACGAACGTAAGAGGGACAGACGAAGAGAGCGGCAGAGAGTAAGATTCGAAGAGCGAAGTATGGTGACAGCTGTTGGCTTTGTACACAGGGCTACTATCTACATCTGTGTACACACGAACACACACGCACACATATACACACGTGCGTGCATGAGTGTTTTACGCTCTTGTTGCGCCTGTGTGCGTTGCTTTGCTCAGTGCCATTGTATTATTATTTACTACCAACAACGGCAGTTACCTCGAGACCGAGAGCGACACCGATAAAATTGCGACGCGTTTTGTTCAGCTTGTAGATTTCGTGGAGTCGGCAACAAAAGAGATCGGCCAGCTAATTTCTCAAAATGCGCTACATTCATTTATGAAGATAATAACAAGAGAGAGTCTACGCTGAGGTTCAATAATCATCTACTACATATTATTTATGTACACATCTTGCAATTATTTGTACAATTAAATCGAGAGCTAATGAGAACTTGAAGAATGATGCATCAATTATTTGTACAATTAAATCGAGAGCTAATGAGAGCTTGAAGAATGATGCATATGAAATAATTATGTTTTATTAAAGGCCAAATGTGAAATAATAGTTCATAAATGCTATTTAAAAATCTTTTAAACATTACTTTGACTTTCAATGAATTAATAACTATTTCATTGGTATTTTGCAACATTTTTCAGATATAAAGCATAATTGTTTGAATATATTTGATAAATATTAAGAATGTGTTTTATTAAGACAAACATCACGAATCCGCACAAATTTTTAAGTTAAGTGGAAACAAAACAATCAAAATAGTTATATATAGTATATTTTATACACTTCTTCTAATCACGCGCCAATGTGCCCGTTATTGGAAGTGTAGGACATTGAAACCAGTTGTTGGTTCTGCAGCTGCCAGTTTTACTTACACACGCATACAGTCATACCTTCGGGTCTACGTTATGCGACACGGCCTGGAAATCATTTCCAACCGAAGAGTTTTTTGTTTGTGAATAAAGAGACAATCGAAAGAGAGCCACGCTCACATATAAGCTATATATTTAGAGATCGTTGTTAATCTATAATATATACAATGCAATGACAGTAGCTGGAAGTTGAGTAACTTAGCCAACGGCGAATTAACAATTGAACTTATCAAATCGTAATGTTTGAGTACCCAACCTGATTTCCACGACTGCAATGACGAATGATCGATTGAGCTAGCAGCGAACAAAGCAATAAGACAAGGTCGTTGCGTAAAGAGAAACATAGATAAATGCAAAGAGAGTCCAGGCCGTTCCACGAAACTTTTTGTTGTTCTGTGCATGCGATGGAAAGGTCGATGCCAACTGAGAGAGAGAGAGGGAGAGTACAAAGAGCAGCATAGGAACGTGCGAAAAATTGCAATGCAGCGGCTTAAAGATTATATAGACACATACATATGCATATAAATATACATATACAAATGTGCTTATTGCCTGCATGTGTGTGTTTGCTTTATGTAGATATGGGCTAGGTAGCTGAGCTGAGAGCCAGGTAAAAATGTTTCCAGTGAATCATAAGACCAGCATCAGTTGCTGAATCAAGAACTAATATTCATTTCTAATATTTCCACGATTAAAGCAAAATCAACTCACACTTTCTTCACGACCTCCACTGGGCAAAAGCCCCGTTAAAAGTCAATTTTAGCAATTTGCGTAAGAGCCAGCAAAAGCCAGTCAACAGCAAATGTGCTACGCAAGCTACAATTGCTTTGTCTGCTCCATCATTTAGATATAGTTTATATAGTATATACAGAGCTGGGCGCTCCCAATGCTAGACTAAAACACTCCCACACAGCCACCCAATGGATGGACAAAAGATAAGCCACTGACAATGCCACGAATAGCGAATAGCGAAAAGCAAAAAGCGAACGAGGATTGAAGATTGGGGCGTGGGGATTGGGGATTGGGGATTGGCAACGGCCACAAGCTGAGAAATCAATGTCGAGATGGCTAGACAAAAGCCACATGTTGAACTAATCAGAAATTCAATCAAAATGTGCAAATGCAGCCGTCAGAAGTAACAATCGAAACAATACAATAAAACGTTTAAAACCGATCAAAACAACTGTTTATTACAATAAAAATGACTTCGATTATAAACGAGACAAATATAACTTGTGTATAGCCCTCACCTTTGCTTACTGTCTATAAATTTACTTCTCCATTCATGCCGCATTGGGTTTTTGTTTTCATTTGTAATTATGATTGCATTTTTATACATATTTAAATAGTAGTATTTTCTATTATTACTAATTAATTTTTTAATCAATTTTTTTTGGATAATTATTTACTTATATATTTTCTTATCTTGATACTAAATTAATTTTTTAACTTGTGTTTTCCAACACTCATTTTATTATAAATTTATTTTTATTATTATATTTCCTTTTTTTTAATTTTATATATATTTATTAATAATAAATTCGTCACTTGTTTCTCTTTATGTAAAATTATGAAATTTTTAATGAATTAAAAACTTACCTAAATTTAGAGGCTTAACCGTTGAGCACTGTAAATATATAAAGAAAGAAAGGCATTTTAGTTATAAGTAATCGAATTTTCATTAAAATGTTTCCCTTTAAGCTGGCTTTAAGAGAATTGCGCTCTTGAGGCGAGCTTAAGAGCTTGCGCTGGTTAATGCCAGCGGCATTGTAGGTGCTTAAAGCGCGACAATTACAAAAAGTTCTCACAGTCATTAGGGTCGTGAAGCATCGCTGGTCTCGTGTTTACAATTTTTTCTTTACCATACTATATGTATATAGATGCATATGTATGTATTTGTACTTATGTATATGTAGTATAATATATACACACACAGACATCAATGCTTGCAAGGCAGATATGCAGCTGGTCTGAGTGCTTGAGTGCTTCTCGAGACGCTAAAAGCTCAAGTGTGGCTTTGAGCATAGATGAAAGCTCTCTCAGCCTATGCGACAAAGTTTATTCTCAGCTTAAGCTTGGCTTAGCAGCAAAGTTCAATGAACTTCAATGCGTTAATATTTTTACATTTCATTTTTTGCTAACCTACCCGCCCACAGCTCTCTTTCAACTTTTATAGGGTAGCTTAAACAATTTCAAATTTCACATTTCACGCCCATTGCTCAATAAAAAACCAATTAGCTAAGGGTTGCAGCATCCCTGACACTATTCGCAATCGTTCGGGGCGAAATTTTCAAGTGCCTGGAACTAGTCTCAAATGCAATTAAAAACAATTTAACAGCTTAGATGAAACAACCGTTAGATTGCTCTAAAAAATAGTACAATAGAGAACCGTTCCTTCCGAGGCGCGGGTAGCACCGGCATTATCAGTCATTTAATTAGGGGCGACACACTGAGGCGTGAGAACCAACAGGCGGTGTACATTAAATGGATTATCGTCCTGTAAGTGGTACTCGAGTGTCTAAGCCACCCCACCTACATGAGTAAATATTAAAATTTAGCAGCTGACTGACTCAATATTTATTATCGCCATATTTGATTACTAAATAAACAGCAATTAATTTCGAATTAGGTTTATATTAGCTTACTTTAATTTAGTAGATAACTTTACTTTAATACATTTTTTGCAAAAACTCATTTCCTATGGTACAACAATTGGCTGAGAACAAATTTATTTTACTAATTAGAAAAATGTTTATTATTTGCTAAGAATGAAATATAAATTTTATAAAAATAAGAATAAATATAAAAATTATAAAGTATACAAAATAAAAATTTTTTAAAAGCATATAAGCAACAAATAAAACCAGAAGACTAGATAAATATCAAATATTTAGTATTATTTCAGAAATGCAATTTTTATAATGAACTTCATGATTGAAAATCTATTGCATACTTTTAGGCAAGTGTGCTAAAATTATAGATTAAAAGTGTGTAAAGTCCGTCTTTATTTATAATAATAATAATATATTATTATCTATCGTAACACATAATAATTTGCTATGTGTAAATATTAAAATAAATCATGACATCTTATAATAAAAATTTCTAAAAATTCAAATCTTTCACAGCTAAGGAAATTAATTTTTTTGAATATATTTATAGAATAATTATAATTGATTACAATTATATACAAAGTTAAGAACAACGGAATACGTTATTTATTTGAATACTTTTATTAAGCAATTTTCGCATATTGTCAAATTCAAGATTTTTATAAGCATTTGAAATCCAGTATTTTAGTTAGTCAGATGTGCTAATGCTACTTAAAATACTATATTAAAACCATAATAATAGATATATAATATACATATATAATATATATTATTATTTATATATATAATATACATCTCTTAACTTAAATTCCTTACTTAATTTAACTTAACTTTAAAATTGTCTTTCTGTTCCTTATCTCGCAATATACACAGAGTTTTCAAAATCTAATTATTAGCAATTTGTATTAGTTATTTAGATGCATGCTTCCCCTTGATAATTCTTGGAATTATTAAGTATTATTAATAAATATAGAGAATTGGAAAATTATTTCTTAGAAATGGAAATGGCAATGCCCACTAACAAAGTTGAGATCTTAGCCTAACAATTAACTTAAAAGCGACAATAACCATCTCTCTGCATGTCTAAATTTGCCATTTTTAGCATGTTTAATATTTCAAGTATATAAAGACTCAATTTACTGTCGCATGTGCGAACAGAATGCGTAAAGCAATTCCATTAAAAGTACTTCTTCAACCCAACTCTCCCTCCCTGCCTGATGCTCATATTCCTTCCAGCTGTCGATGTGGATGTGGATGTGGATGCAGATCTCTGCTTCCAGCAGTTCTGTCTGCAGCTGAGACATGGAAAGACACCATCATGTGTAGGGGAATTCGAATGAAGCAGCACACGGCCAATGCACAGTGGGGTCATTCAACAAAA